AGCATCTATGTTGATAGCTGCAAGTCCGCAGCTGTAATTTACAAGTTCATTAACAGTGTCCCTGCAAGCTTTTTATTTTTTTAGTTTTTAACCTGGCACCCTAATTAGCAATGAATTCTCATTATTTCTCATTGAAATCCCCAAGCAGCTTTGGCACGTTCTCTTTGTTCTTTTGAAAAGTGGGAGGTAGAGAAGCCTCGGGGAGATAAAGAAACAGCAGGTTATATTCTGGGGGCAGGGTGTTTTCCTATAGAGCCGTTCCTTCCATTTAATACATTTTGCAGCAATTTTGCTTATTATTTATAAGGTGAAGAAGTAACTGTTTCCATAAAGAAGCCTTACCCTCAACCTGGACTATCTGCCTGTTGGGTATGGCATGCTGGAGGTTGGGCTCCTTTCTGTTCCATTGGCTAAGCACTGTGCTGGGTTCAAGAGGAACAAGGGTACAAATCCAAGCAGCAGCCATGAGAAAAAGCCCAGGGTCAGCCCGAGAAATAGCAAGCAGCCCCCACAATTAGAGTGCAGAGAAGTGTCATCAGTCAAGGCCTTCATTACCACCAATGTGAGTGGGACGGTGGCTTGATGGCCCCAGTACCTGTGCTCAATGCACAAAATGATGGAGGAAACGCTTGGGGCTCCTGGTAGATTCTCAGATATTCTTTTTTCTGAGAGCTGGAAAATCATGACACATCGATTCCCCAGTCCTCCTACAAATCATTTTGATAATAAAGGCCCACCTGTGACATTAAGTACATTTTAATTACAACACTGTCTGTAATGCATATATCTAATTGCAAATAATTACTTTATCATATTTTGTCAGTATGCCTGTTATATGCATCAGATATTATCTTCTGACTCAGTGGTACAGGTTAATTAAAATTTCGCTTTTAATACTGTTTCAAAGCTAACCACATAATTTCATCTGAATACCAGCTGCGTTATTTTTTATTATTTTTTTGTCATGCTTGTATATAGAGGAAAAAACAAGCCATTTCTAAAGGCTATAATTACTGCACTGCTCTCCACAGTAATTTACTTGGAAAAGGGAAGGGAAGGGAAGGGAAGGGAAGGGAAGGGAAGGGAAGGGAAGGGAAGGGAAGGGAAGGGAAGGGAAGGGAAGGGAAGGGATTTCTTTCAGAAGGAATTAACATGTTATGTAGCCATGATTTAAAGGATGTCTCAATGGTTAATAAACTGGGGTTAAGGTGATAAACGTGGTCACTCTTAATACTAACAAAGCATGTGGATACCCCATCCCTGAAGGCATTCAAGGCCAGGCTGGACGTGGCTCTGGGCAGCCTGATCTGATGGTTGGTGACCCTGCACATAACAGGGCTCAAACTGGATGATCATTCTGGTCCCTTTCAATCCAGGCCATTCTATGATTCTACACCGTCAGCTTCTTTTCCTGGTTCCAAGCTAAGCAGCACAGAAAGGCTTCTCCATGCCAATGGGATCTGGGTGTTTCCTTCTGGGAGGTATCAAGGGACATGCAATCCACATTCTTTCTATCTGTTTTTTTTTTCCATCCATAAATTCCTGTCTGTCCCTCTACACACAGACTGCAACCCAGACAGAAGGAAATCTGACATCCTTTTTGGATGGCTTTTTTTTTCTCCTGGCCCCCATTTTTACTATATGAATGATATTTTGATGTCTCGGGTGCTGCAAGAAACTTTGCATTAGAATCTTTGCGCTAAGGAAATGATTATCTCACCTGTATGTTATTTAGGAGGCAAGTTTCCTTATTTACCTTTCCCCTACCCTTTTCTTCCAGGACCATAATGAAGCGTGGCATTGACACAAGTAAGAGGAGAAGTTCCGTAATTCAATCTGTCATTAAAATTTCAGCCTGCAAAGGAAAAGCAGCCATGCCTGTTCGTCAGGTCTGTGTTGCAGGACTGCTCACCCTCACTGCAGAAAGCCAACGAGCTGCACTGGGGTTTGTCATGATTTTCATTACAACTGTATTCCATGCATTTTGTTACACGTTAGGGTGAGTCCCTGCTCTTTCGACATTAGAATGTGATTGGTGTGATGTGAAATTTAGAAAACATGCATGTCCTAAAGATTGTAGTAAGTAGATCCATAGCTCTCAGCTCCCCTCCAAGACAGCTCTGTTGGAAAACCAGAGCCCATGACAGCAGCCTGGCAAAGCTAAAGGCGAGCCATGAGCCACCTCCACCCACAGCAACAGCTTCCAAGCAGCACAGAGTGATAAGGGATTACTGCTTTGTGTCTTTGTTTGCCTCCTTACACAATTTGCTTTATATAGATTTTACTTCAGATCCTGAAAACTGAATGATCTAATCGTTTTCAGGAAATTCATCTACCTCAGGCATCAACTTTTGGAAATGCATCATCTGGTTTTCTGGGCAACCGCAGCTTGTCGCATGGTGAGAAAACATAAGTCATAGGATTTTATGAATGGTTCCCCAGTGCAAGCTGACATAATTGCTGCAAGTTTATTGTTATTTCTGTTTTCCATTATTTTACATCAAACCATAAGCAAATCCTTTGAGAAGTTGTGTTTCATGATTTATGCAAGCATTATTGTGGATAATAATAATAACTGGCACAGGTTGCCCAAGGAGGCTGTGGATGCCCCATCCCTGCAGGCATTCAAGGCCAGGCTGGATGTGGCTCCGGGCAGCCTGGGCTGCTGGTTGGTGACCTGCACACAGCAGGGGGTTGGAACTGGATGAGCACTGTGGTCCTTTTCAACCCATTCTATGATTCCATTATCTTGAGTTTCTACAGGTATGTATTATTTGAATCTATTTGTTTGCCTAAATCTGAGAGGAGACATTGTTTAATGTGCTTTCTCCTCCATGTTGCTCCAACTGCTAGTTCTTAATAGAAGACAAAGGAATTTTGCACTGTGAAGATCAGCAAACATGTGGGGATGCAATTAGAAGCAGCAAAAATATTGTGCTCATTGTATTCCGTGTGGCACGTGACATGTGGAAGGAAATGGGAGTTATACGATCCAACGTCAAATGCAAAGACATAAAAAATAAATGCGAAAAATTGTCTGACATCTCAATAGCTTCCAATTCGAAAGCATTTTAATAGCCTGTGTATTTCCAAGTAATATAAATTAAGCATAGAATCTACTGAGGAGCAGTCTGTCATCACATGCTGTGTGGAAGTGCCTTAATTTCTGGGAGCTTGACGGGTTTTCTTTCAGTGAATGATGTCAGTGTTTGCCTCTTTACCAATCTGCTTATTTCTTATTTCAGAAGAACCCCAGCCATAGAGAGATCGGATTTAGCCCTCACTCAAGCAGAAAGCACGCTAACATTTCACTGTAAGAGCAGCTGGTTTGAACTTGGCCCACACGCCCTGCATGTTCAGCACCAAGAGATGGTCTGCAAACCTCAGCTGGCTGCTCACAACACATCCGTTCAGCAGTGTCCCCAGACACAGACTTCACACCCCGCAATGAAATCACTTCCTGCCACCTACATGCAGCATTAGAGGCACTTCTTCATCTCTTCACTTCAGTGGTGCGCAAAGACTGAGTTCAAATAAACTTAATTCTATGATGAAAGCGCACAATTAAAAACAAAAACATGCCCCAAACCCTCACTCTAATTATGGTAACATTAAGCTCTGCTGAATCACTGAGTTCTTCATGTGACCGCATTTTCCATCTTCTAACAGGGAAAGAAAGGAGTGTCATCCTGCAGCACTATGATCCAGGTCATGAAATCTATCTTCTGTGGAGCTCGGCAAGAGAGGAATTCCTGGCAAACTGTCCATCAGTGAATGCCTAACGCTCTGCAGTTAGGTGCTAGGCACCACAATTGCAGAGTTATCACAAATGTCATTAAATATCAGAGAAGCTACATAGCTGCAGTAGCTTTAAAGTCATAGGTTGTTTTTTGTTGTTGTTGTTGTTGCTGTTACTTTGTTTTTAATAAAGTAAAAAAAGACAAAAGCATGGAAATGTCAGCAATTGCCAACAGAGACAACCAGAAAGCTCTTGTTTTAAGTCAGTTAAAGCAAAAGGAAAGAGAAGAAAAAAAAAAAAGAAAAGGAAAAAGCGAGCCAAAATTTTAGCCCTGTGCTTCCTTAGCCAACTGCACGTATTGATTTGTGGCAATGAAAGGGAAAAGTTGGGATGGCTTCATTCGCCCTTCTCAGGAAGCTGCAGATATTCAACTTGCAGCACGTGACAAATAATTTCAGACAGATTTACAGCTGTTCCAGAAGGAGACATTGTGTAACAGCGTAGGGGAAAGATACACACTCTGAATTACTGTAAACCTTAAGTGGGCTCCAAGACAATAGACTCTTGAACAATAATACATTCTCTTTTACTGGTGGCAAGGTCATGCTTTCCAACCTTTTTCTTTAATGAGGATTTTTGCTTTGTTTAACGTTTGTTTAAAAAAAAAATTGCTGAGTTCCCCTTCCTGTACGTCCATCCCAGCAGCACGCTCTGGTGTCCAAGAAGGCCAATGGTGTCCTGGGGTACATGACACAGAGCGAGGCCAGCAGGGAGAGGAGGTGATCCCTTCTATCCAATTCTGTGACGCTGTGATCTCACTCTGACATTTACTAAAGCCCACTTTTCTGATCAGAATATTACTGACAGGCCTTCAGTCAAGCCCTGTTGGGTTCAGATTCTGAGAAAAAAACAGTTTTGCTGTTGAACTGCAAATCTGCCCAGCATTTGTCTTTACTTGGACGCCACACACAAGACCCGCTGGGCTCCACAAGGCACCTCACCCCGGCGCCGCTCTCCCGCACAGCACCTGCACGTGCTCGGCCCCCTCCATGGCGCGGTGACGTCAGCGTGACGCCGAGCAACAGCGCACCGCAGTGAGAGAAGACTACAGCTCCCGGCGTGCAACGCGCGGCGCCCCGCCATGCGCAGAGACTGCTTCCGCGCGAAGCACGCCGGGAGTTGTAGTCACCGCGCACGACGCTGGGCCGCCGCGGCTGCGCAGTGGGGCGGCGCGGGCGGGAGGCGGCGGGTTCCGCCTCGTCACGCCCACCCACGGCGGCGGCGGAGGGTGGCGAGCTGCGGGGCCGGCGGAGACGCTGCTGTCGCCTCGCTTCGCCTCCCGCTCGGACTCGCTCTCGGCCCGGCCCTCCCGTCCTTCCTGCGGAGCCCACCCGAGGGGCTCGCCATGTTCTCCAGGAAGGGCCACGCCGACGCCAGGAAATCCACGCAGAAAGCTCTAGACCCCAAGCGGGACGTGCTGACCCGCCTCAAGCACCTCCGGGCGCTGCTGGGTGAGTGAGAGCCGCCCCGCCCCGCCCAGAGGGAAGCGGGCTGCGGGCGGGAGCGGCTGACGGAGCCCTGAGGGACCCTGAGGAGCCCCGAGAGCGGCGGCACGGCGCACAGCCGCAGCCCCGCGGCACCGCGCGGCGACGCTTTCAAATCTCCCACCTCACAACAAAGGGCTCCGAGCCGGTGGGGCTGGGCTTCGGCCCCTGAGGGAGAGAGCTGGTGCGGGGCTGCGCTACCCGAGATGTCCGAGTTAGCAAGCGATGAGTGCCTCTGGGTGGCAGAGGTGGTTGGTGTCGTTTGGTGGTAAAGTAGTGGGAACCGGCGGCTGTTTGGGTGCGAAATAGCCAACAGCCCCGCAGGATGCGTCTTCAGAAGACCGGTGCGTCTGAGTTGTTGTTCACTGGTCGGTGTGGATCGATGGGCTGAGCCCGGCGGGATGAGCCTCACCAACCCGACCGTCGGGTGCTGCGCTTTGGCCACAGCAGCCCCACGCAGCGCTGCAGCCTTGGGGCAGTGGCTGGCAAGCTGTGCGGAGGCAAAGGCTGCGGGGCCGTTAGCTGACAGCCGGCTGAGCGTGAGCCAGCAGTGTGCCCAGGTGGCCAAGAAGGCCAACGGCACCCCGGCGTGTGTCAGCAGCAGGAGGTGAGCGGCCCTCCGCACTGCCGCTGGTGAGGCCGCACCTCCAGTGCTGCGCTCAGCGCTGGGCCCTCACTGCAGGAAAGACACCGAGGGCTGCAGCGTGTCCAGAGAAGGGCAGCGGGGCTGTGAGGGGTCTGGAGCACCAGTGTGATGGGGAGCGGCTGAGGAACCGGGGCTGTTCGGTCTGGAGAAGAGGAGGCTCAGGGCAGACCTATGGATCTGCAACTACCTGAAAGGAGGCTGTGTGAGGCAGGGTCGGCCTCTGCTGGCAGGGAACGGCCATAGGATGGCCTCACGTTGTGCCAGGGGAGGTTCGGGTTGGCTGCTAGGAACAATTCCTTCTCCAGAAGTGATTCTGCACTGACACAGCTGCCCAGGGAGCGCTGGGGTCACCTGGAGGAGTCCCAGAGCCGTGGGATGTGGCACTGAGGGACGTGGGCAGTGGGCATGGTGGGATTGGGTTGTGGTTAGTGATCTTAGTGGTGTTTTCCAACTTTAATGAATCTGTGATTCTAATTCGTCTATTTATTTTAACTTTAAGGAGCTTGTGTAACTGTAGTTTGGGATATACTTTCCTTGTCTGTTGCAGGGTTGAATCTCTCTCTTCAACATCTCCTACAGCGGAAGTCTTAACGCCTCTCTTTTGTTTCAAAACATTGAAACCTGTTGCTGAATTTTGATGGTAATCTAAGTCTTGCAGGGGTTTAGATAGCCTTATGTTCTGCTGGTGAGCAAACAGCAGCAGGAAGTAGCTCTTCTAAGCGCTTTCAGGCACTGTCCTGGTGTAGGAGAATCAGTGGTGGTGTTAATACTTGTTAACCTCATTTTGATTTACTTTCTGAGAGACAAGGAGGAGAAAGTGATGCATGAAACTTCCATTTGTTGTGTATGCTGCTTATTTTTTGAGTCTGGTGGCCCATCTCGGCCACAGCTGACCATTATGTGGGAGCCTCAGAGACGTCTTGTTAGCTGCAAGACTTTGGTAGCTGGTTACAGGAAAGAGCCCAAGGTTAGTGACTTTTGAAGAAAGAGAAGTCAGTCACTGTTTCTGCATCGCTCCCCTTGGTCACTGCACGTGCTGGCTGTCAGCCACTGGTACCATCTAGGAGGAAGCACAGGCTTTGTGCAGTCCTCCCAGTGCTCTGCCTGCGGCATCAGGCTGCATGGGGGAACCTCGCTGTGGTCTGCAGCATGGGTCAGTGGGGCTTGAGGTTAGAAGCCTCTTCCTGCAGCATTTCAGTGACGGGAGAAAATACATTAGAAGCTTTCTAGATGTGCTGTAGCAGAGTGAGCAGCTTTTGTAGTGACAGTGCTGTATGTGGTCCTGAGTGAGAAGACAGTGATGGGTCTCCCTCAGGACACTCTGGGATGGCTGTGCTCTGTGAGTGCCAAAATGAATGAGTAGAAGTCTCTGATAGTTTAGCAGGTTGTGGATGTACTTGTGTTGGGTTGGTTTTTTTTTCTTATAGGTTTAATCCAACTTGTCTGTGATTTAAACGTGATACTTCTCCATGCATTTAGCGAGCTTATCTCAAAAGAGATTTTTGGGGGTAGTTAATAAGTGGAAAAAGTGCTGGACGGGTGAGTAGGCAGTCTCATGTTATGCTCTACAAGTAGCGTTGTTTTGATGTATATGTATTTTTTTATCCTCCCTGGGGACCAAGCTTGTGCATTTCTTGTACTAGAGGTGTGTAAAATGTTCTGTTTGGTTGATTTTGTTTGCTTGTTTTCAAATCATACCATGTATCTGCCTGCCTAAGGATTTTGGCAGGCGAAAGATACATTATGCTCATGCACTGCAACTGTATATTTAACTTATTGGCTATGTGCTCCACAAACCATACTAAAATAATTTCAAGTTTCGTTTTAAGTAATCTGGGGAAATGTTTTCTTTACCAAATGAGGTTTTAGAACATGTTGTGAAACCATCCTGAAGAAAGATCGTTCTAGGATAGAACTGGCAGACATTTTTTCCTTTACGTCTCCCCTCACTAAAATAAGCAGGCCTGAAGAAATCCAAAATATGGCAGCTTTTAGTTTGCGTTCCCTTTCCAGCACTTGTGTTTTGTAGATGAAAAGTCCAGAGTTCAGTCAGGAGTTACAGCCCTTCTGGGGTCGTCGTTCCCTGCCCCCCTCTGCTTCTCTGTGCCCACAGTGGCACTTGTTCTTGGAGTAACTGAGCAGATGTCATTGTGTTGTCCTTTGTTATTGCACAAAGTCACTGCTAAGTGAAATGGCATTTACTCTGCTGAGATCCTACTGATGTAGGAGGGTAAAAATAAGAGGAAGGAAGATAATAAGAGAGCTGGGAGGGGAAGGAATGTTTATTTCCTTAAATAAGGGGTTGTGTGAGCAGCAAAAACAATAAAACCCTTTACTTGATTGATTCAGGCCTCTTAGCTGTCATCTGTGGAAGTTTTTATCAAAGAAAACCTTCCCTTTAAGTGCGTTGCTTGTAACATCCCTCAGGTCCCTTGAAGAATTGAGGCCCTGCTTCTGTGAGATGTGTCCTTGTGTTTGCTGGGCTGTCACTCAGTGGGACAGCTGTTTACAGATGTGACTACGTGATGTCTGGAATGAAAACCTTACTGTTGCAAAGTGGGTGGTCACCTGTGTTAGGTACAATACTAAAGGATTCATTTTGTTAATTGCTGTGTACGTGCTCTACCCTTCCTGAGGAATTTTCATCTGTTTTCACGAATAGATGTGTCACAACACGGTGTCTTCTATGAATATGGTGCTGTGGGGCAGTGACCTGTGTTTACCACAGTGCTCTCCATTAATCAACGTGGGATCATTATTTGCTGTCACATACGAGTGGAGGGGATATCACAGGGCACTTGAGCTTTATTTCATACTGGTGGGGAGCCTCTTCTTTGTGCTGGTGTTATCCTTGCTGATTTCAGAGCATCATTTGCCTGAGGGCTGCAGCACATGCTTGGGTCTTGAAACTTGTTTTATTGTAGGCTGGGAGTTGTCAAGTCTGTGTGTGGGTAGGATGATCTCTGGTGATTTCAGTTGGCTGCCACCCTTCACATAACACTTAGGAAATGAGAACTTTCCCTTTGCTGCTTGTGAGTGTGCTGCAAGCTGCCCGAGAGGTGGTCACAATAATACTGACTTAAGTGGCTGAACTTCAACTTTTTTTATGCTGACTAATGATAGAGATGATAACCTTGTGTTTAAATGGCTTAGGTTGTACTGCTCGAATGGTGTGAGCTTGCTAGTGATATTATTTTAGACACATTCAGAAGTTAGTGCTTGCAAATGTCTGTGTTTAGAAAAGCCATTGCTCCTTAGATTACCAGCAACACTTGAGATGTTAAAATTATTTTAGAAATTGCTCTAACTAGAATTTCTTTTTCAGTGATGGCCTTTGAGTAATGGTAACAGTTTCCTTGTGAAATGGACGGTCCCTGAAAAAAAGAACAAAACTGATCTTAGGGGCTTTTACTTAGCATTTAAAGCTCTAATTTGAAACAATTGCCATTTCTTTTTCTGAGACAGTTAGTAAAAATAGCATGAAGTTTGTGGGGTGAGGCTGGTCATAAAAGTTTATCATTAACCAGAGTGTGACTGCAAAGTCATCTTTTCATCTCCTTTACTTCTTTCTAAGTACTCGAGACAAAGAAAATCCCTGGGGATTGTGAGAGCTGTATATAAATAACATAAAACCTCACATAAAACCACCTGACTCTGGAAGTTCATGGAATTAAGGGAGGCTTTCTCACAGCTTAAACAAATGCGGTAACACATCATAGTTAATACAGAAATAAGAGGAAAACCGGTGTGATAAGGACACAATTATTTTCATACATATATATATGTATATATTACGAACCAAGGAGAGCACTGAGCATGCAGTGCACTCAAATTCTTACTAGATGGTTCCTGGTTAGTTAATTTCCTTAGATGTTAAGGTTAAGCAGTAAGAGAAGTGTGGGTGACTTGCCATCATGTAACGAGCTGATTTTTGTATCTTCTAGAGAAGGATTCTCATGTACACCCTCCAGAACGTCCTGCTGTTTCCTTCGTGTTGCCGTGAAAGCTGCAGAGTGCTCATGGGGAAGCATTAGCTAATGAACCACCTGACCTTGCATAGGGAATGGAGTCAGGTTATACGTGTTCTTGGAAAGGCACCAACTGTCTGACGGCTGGTAATGTTTGCCAGCTTGTCTTAGATTTTAGTACTCAGTTGTGAATTCAGAAGGTGGTTGTTTTTTGCTGGTAGTAATGTGGGGGTTACTTATCAGTCAATATAGACAGAAAAATAAATAGAAAAATATAACCTAACATCTGCAGTTCAGCTTTGCTCTTTAGTTTTCCTTCAGTGCTTGTAAGTGTTTCTTCAGTCAATTCGGTGCGGCAAAAGTCAATATTTAACCTTAGGATCTACACTGAGAAATAGTAAACGACACTTAAAATCATCTCGTGAAGGACTCTTTCTCATCTGCTTTTGTTGTGGTGATGGTCTCTGAAAAGGGCAGAAGCAGTGGGACTGGGGAGGAAGCTGTGCTGCATGTGCTGCTGCCTGCCCAGAGGGGGGAGCCTGGAGGGGGGTTGCTGCTTTGCTCTTAATAGCAGAGCTGAGCAGTGGTGTCAGGATGACGGCTTGCTCACACAATTGCAAGAAAATCGTACTTTCAGAGCAGATATCTTGTCCTAAGGTAGCAGCCGGAGGTGTTGCTGATGGCTCAGAATTCAGAACCTTACATTTTGAAACGTGAGGTTTATTCTCCATATTCTCCAATTTATTCTCCATATCCTGCAAAGGAGTATAAAGAACAAAGTAGTTCAGTGGGGAAAGGATGTGACTGAGAATGCATGCTTATGTCAGAGTAGCAGATGAGTCATCTCCGAAATGCCACATTTATAGAATAGAGAATTTACTTTTTTTTTTTGATTAGGCAGCTCCTTTCTCCTCCTTTCACAATTTAAAGGGAAAGTTTCCTTAATGAACTCATTCTTTCATATGAAAGCCTTGTAAATGAAAGCCTTGTTTTCTCCTAGAGTTGTGTTTAACAACGCATTCATAGAGGGGAATAATTGCACTTAACTTGCAAATTCAACACCAGTAGCTTGAAGGAAACCAATACCATGTAAAAGAGTTTCCATGCACTAATTGTTGCCATACTGCAAGCATCCAAACAAAGCCTTCTTACAGAAAAGCTATCAATTTATTGTTTCAGGGGATAAAAAAAGCACGAAACACCGGTGCTATTCAAGGCTAACATCAATCTTCTGTTGATGTGTGATGTTGTTGGTTCTTCTTGTATTTAACTTTGTTGGCTTGGTTAATGAATGGCTTTCTTGAGAGGCTGTTAATAATTCTTACGCTTTCTCTTCTTACTTCTGGGTGGAATTACATCTTTCCTTGGCCAAATCAATTACAGCAAAGAACAAGCATAATTAAAGCATGGTTGGCAAATGTCATGTTTAGGAAATCTTAGGGGTTTTTTTTGGTTTTTTTTTTTTGCTTAAAAAATAAGTTTGTTTGAATTCTTAACTCTACATTAAGGCCCAAGGTAGTGTTGCATGTGTAGGCTTCTATTATTTTTTAAAGAAATTGGAGATATGTTGATTTGTTGTTTGTTTGATTATTTACCAGATAAATTTAACAGCTAGATTTGCAATTAACTTCTGGAAATGATTGCTGGCATTTCTTTTTCTCCAGCAATAGCTGTCTGTTCTGGTGGTGCAGGAGCAATATAGTCAGGTAGCCATGCTGGCATCAAAACATACCTTGTAGAATATTTTCCTGAGTTACTTCAAAATTGGAAGTGGTTTGGAAACAGAAATGAAAACTGTAGATAAGATACAGCTCATGTTTTGGAAGTATTTCTTGAGCAGTGGGATTTCCAGCAGTCAGTCTGTAGCCCAGTGATCTCTGACCTCTGCTTCTAACATTAGCCGCCTCGTGTGCTCCAAGTACTTTCCTACAGCTATTCTCTAGATTGCTTCAGTTTGGCCTGGGTAGGCTTATTTATTTACTAAATAGTTCTGTGACTCTTAATGAAAACTCCAGCTTTTCCCCTGCTTCCCATCCTCCCCGGGTAGGACGGTGTGCAGGTGGTGCCCCAGCTGGCACAGGGCTGTCGACAGGCTCACCTTCCCTTGGTATCTTTTAATTTGTCAGTATTTGATGTAATTTACAAAAGTACATCAATTCCTTTCCGGAGTTGCGTGCTGTTCTGAGAGAACTGTTTCCAAATGCACATTAAAATCCATGTGAAATGTGATTTCTGGTTGAGCAGTGCTGATGAAGATCTTCAGATAGCAATATTCGCCGATGCCGCAGTGATGCTTCAGCAGCATATTTGTCTTCCTCCTCCTCCACGTCAGCCTCAGGCTGTGTGTTTGTGAGCATTTAGTTTCTAGATCTTGAAATACGGGACAAGAAATGTCTCTAGCCCCTGCATAGTACATCTTTTAGAATTAGTAGACTTTTTCTCTAATGATCTAATTTATTTCATCTTACTGGCAACAGTAATTTAAATCTGCGAGGTTGGACTGCTGGGGCTCAGGTTTTTATTTACTGAAACAATTGGCTGTGTGATACAGGTTTAGCTCCTGAGAGAATCAGATTACGGGATTCAATTCATAGTGAAGGTAGAAACAAGCTTTCTTCTGTCAAGCAGCAACACTGTATAAATTTCTACAAACGCTCTTAACTCTCTTTTCTGTAATTAAACTTGAAAATTATGAACAATTATAAATGGTAGAGAAATCTGCAGTTGTTTCATTGTAAAAGAAAGTGTTTCAATTGACCTTTCCTTTTAACATGCCATTATTGTTTGGTGTTGAGGCAGTCACAGTGAATGTACCTTTGGTCTTTTAGAGCTGTGTTTTAGCCTTCACTTGGTCTTGCCCTTTTACTGAAACTTCCTGTGCAGACTTCCTCTACTCAGTGTAAAAGGTTGATTTTACCCTTGGGTGAAGGTTCCATATTATTATTATTATTATTATTATTATTTTTAAATGAATTGTTTTGAATTCACTGAGGATTCCTAATGATGTGTGGAATCTTTACAGACAGCTACAGGATGGCTGCTGTGTGGCGTAATTTTCAGAGTAATTAAGAAAATTGTTCATAAATGAACAAGCAGTGCAGTTGGCTATCAGATGGGCCAAAAGCCAGTCCATGTTCATGGCTAAACCATTTAGTACCTTTGCTATGTTTGGGTTCAGTCGTGTTACTTCATGCTGTGGGGCATGTGGAAGAATTTCTAGCAACGTACGTTTCTGATGATCCAAAAGGATTCAGTTCAGTACTTAATGTAACCCCAATGAGGAGATCTGGTGAATTATCTTGATAACAGGCAGCTTTCACATTTGTTAGCAAAAAATGTCTCTTAGGAGTTGTCCATAGCAACTCTTAAGAATTGCTATAGAAGCAATATGTGGGTGCATCCTGTCTTTCTTTTTTAAGATGGAAAACAAACCTAAACAACACGCAAACTTTGAAAAACTGAGTAAAAGCATGCATTTTCCTATTTCATTTCTAATGATGGAAACACAATCTAGTATAAAATATTTAATGAAATCACTAGAATTGTTTCATAGTGCACTTCATTTTCCAGTTTGCATGAGGAGAAGTGTTTCCAGGTTTCAGATGTTGTGTAATAACTCCATTTGTTCTTCTTGCTAGATATTGTGGATGGAAGTGACCTGAAGCAGTTTTTTGAGAACAATTATTCTCAAATTTTTTTTATCTTCTATGAAAACTTCATAACACTGGAAAATAGCCTGAAACAAAAAGGTAAGTGTTAAGAGTTTAGCTGGCATCTTAATTTTACGGTATCAGTAGTGATGATCATAGAACCATAGACCATGGGAAGTTGCTGCTTGAAATGCTGTAGGTAACTGACAGGAGTTGTAAATACGTGTTTATGGTTTGAAGCATAATTTCTGAACTGAAATTACATCTTGTGCAATTCACATCTTCTCATCTTGTTTTGAAATGCTGATGGCCTTTACCATACATTTGAGTGTATGTCTGTTCAGCTGAAAAATATCAGAAAACCACAGAGCAAACCTGACCATTGAAGATAACACTGAGTAGAATAACTGGGTGCTCCAAGGTGAACCCAATCGCATTGCTTTGCAGATATGGGGCTCTTAACTATGCCCAAAGAGGGGAGAGATACTGAAATTCAGAAATATCCTCCTCTTTTGATACTAGATGAATTCAAATAAACCAAGTGCAGCATTGTTGACTTCAGTTGAGTAGCAGCAGTGTATTTGCTCCACCCGTTTCATCACACCGCGTATTATGTCAAATGATGTTGTTTTCTTTCTTGCAGGGAATAAATCACAGAGGGAGGAGCTGGACTCCATCCTCTTTCTTTTTGAAGTAAGTTTTCCTTACTAGGGAACTATTTCTTCCTAATTGTGTGTGTTGTTGTCATTATGTGCTTGCTACTACCTTTACAACGTGAGGTAAAACCGGACATCAGTCAAAATGACAGCAGGTGTCCCTGCCTGTAAGAGATAAAAGGCAGAAAAGAGCTAGGGTGTGCATTTTTTTCAGATACAGCAATAATAAAAACAATTATGCCACAGAAATATCTGACTTGAAAGAATATCCAGAGTTAGATTTTATCGAAGACAAGTAAACTAATTTAGCTTGCAGAGTAGTCTGAAATGTGGCTCTGGACAGTATCATATTGCTTAAGTATAGTTATTTTATTAGTTGGTACCCTTAGGGTGGAAGACAGCTTGGTTGAACCAGAAGTAGAGAGGAGGACATGTGGGGGAAACTTCCTCAAACTTTGAACCTCAACAATAAAGCTTTAAAGGAGAAATGAAATAAATTGAATTAATTTTTAGATCATAAATGCTTCACAGATATAAAAATGTAGCTGCTCAGTTCTAAGAAATCTCATGGTAAATTTGTATGCCTTACTGTATTTAGTTTCCCTTGCAGTACTTGAATGAGAACATGCTCAGAATATAAGTATTACGTTGCTTCTTAATTGTAAATCATTGTGTTTTGCTCTTCTTCAAGTTACTGAGCACACTTGATAATGTGGTAGTTCACGATACGCAGAAATTTTAATTAATATATCCAATAAAAAAAAGGGTGAATAAGAGTACGTCAGAACTTCAAGGTTTTTGCTTGGTGAGAAGGTATGGCTCTAGATCTTGAGTAACTATTGCATTGCTTTCTGTAACTTAAGGAAAAGCTTGAGTATATTCATCTGTGTATTTGTTAGGTCAACAGCAGGTAATGTCTGTGAGGGTGAAAAAATCTCTGGTGGCTAAAACTAGAGTTGTCTTTTGAAGTACATTAGAAGGAAGTATTTAATACCTTGCTTTCTTTGCTACCCTTGCAACATGTTCTTCATTTAGATTTCTTCAATGTGCTACTTCGACTTCAGCTTTCAAAGTTGGGGTAGTTTTTCAAATTAGTATTCTCAGTTTTTGAACAATAAATTCTGACATCAAGGAAGTTGGATCCAAATTTAGGATTTCAGAGATGATAAGCTCAGAAAACAGGTAACACGTAGCTAAGTCTTGTTGTGTTCTGCATGAATTTGGTAACCACATATACTAATGGTTTGTTTTCAAGAGTACAAAAGGAAATGTATCCTTCTGGATACTATAAGATATTTAAAATTGTGTCCACACAATGCACGCTGTGTGGAAGGTGCTTCCCATCACTGTAGAAGTATGTGTTGTTTCCCAACATATCATTCTTCCACTAACAAGTTGAGGCAGCAAGTGATCAAGGAGTGACAAGAATAAGTGAAGAGGAAAGTATCAATACAATTGAATTGTCTATTTCAGAAAACTTTTTTGATTATATTCAATTTGCAGTCAGAATTCCTTCAAATGTCATCCTGTTTCCTTTTGAAGAGTGAAGACTGAATGTGAACAAATCTAAACAATTAGGCAAAAGAATCCTGTCATTCCTGTAACACAAGAGATTTTCCTTTCGGGGTAAAACTGGTTGCTGAAATGCTGGAGCAGTATGCGAATGTAATTCGTCTTTAAATCTCATGGCACTTCCTATAGTAAGATATTTCTTTTCCATTTTACTGTACTTTAAAAACCCCAAACCTGAATGGTGTCATTCTTGTTACATGATAACAGTAGTGTTGAAATGTAAGAAAATCTTGAAGGAGTCGAGAAGAGCAGCCAGGGATGGAGGGAGAAGAAATGACAAGACAAGGTTCGTTTTCATGTTTCAAGATGAAGCAGTATCTTGGCTCTGTCTGCATTTCATCTCCAAGTGAAATGAAAGCTATGTTTTTGAAGAAACAGGATCAAGTCTCTGAAGATGTCCTGTTATTCCTTCTCCTTATCTAAAGAAAGAAAAAAAGACATCTTTAATTTCATGTTTTTGCTTCTGTAATACATGGGATGATGAGTTCAAGGCAACACAATGGAAGTTGCTCTGAAAGTAATGCCTCCTATTTATTTCCATGGAGACTACAGTAGATAAAAAGAGCACAATAACACTTTGATAGAGCACATTCTCTGCTACAAAACACTATTTTTCAGCATAGTCACCACCATTAGCTGTGCATTTTTGCCAGCAATGAACAAGAGCCTACATGGCTGGTCTTTCACGTCGCTGTTGCCACTTGCTCTTGTTAGACTTTGTGCTGTTAGTGATTGTCCAATAACTCATCAAAATCTGCAAGGCCTCTCTGCCCTCAAGGGAGTTGACATCTCTTCCCAGTTTAGTATCATCTGCAAACTTACTGAGTACACATCTGAGTCTCGTGTCCAGATTATTTATAGAAACATTGAAGAGAACTGGCCCTAAAATGGAGCCATGTAGAACCCCTTTAGTGACTGGCCATCATCCTGAGGCGGTCCCATTTACTGTGACCTTTGAGCCCAACCTGTCAGCCAATTAATTGCTCACTCATCTTCTTAGGTATTTATGGACATTTTGTCCGTAAAGATACAGTGAGAAGCAGTGTTGAAAGCTTTTCTGAAATCCCAAAAGATTACATCTGCTGTCTTTCCTTGGCCATCTCTGTGTGTAACCTTGTAATCAAAGGAAATTAGGTTTGTTAAACTGGGCCTTCCCCTTGTGAACCCGTGCTGATGGCAACAATGACTGCGTTGTCTTGTAGTTCTTTTTCAATAACTCTCAGAATAATCTTCTCCACAATTTTACCAGGCACTGAAGAGAGACTGACAGGCCTGCAATTACTAGCGTCTTCTTTCTTGCCCTTTGTGAAAATCAGAACGTTTTCTATCCTCCGGTCAACTCTGGAACTTCTCCAGATTTCCAAGCCCATTTTAAAAAAGATGATAATTAAGAGAGGTCTCGTGATTACATCAGGGTATTAAAAATACTGGCTGATAAGAATTCTCTTGGGTCCCTGTAGACTTACATAGCCAGCTGGAATAGCAAAACCCACCCGAGTTTGAGGTTGTCTGGAAGTTTATCATTCCTGCAGTCGTGGTCCTCCAGCTCGGGGCTCAGGTGGACCCAGCATCATCATCAGTGCTGAAGACAGAGGTGAAGAAGGCATTAAACATCTCTGCTTTGTCTACATCCCTGTTTGTGAGGTGACTAACTCCACTGAGTAACAGAATTTTCTTTGGTCCTCCTTTTGCTGTTAACTTATATTAAAAATGCCCTTTTTGTTGTCCTCTGCAGTACTGGCCAGCTTCAACTCTAACTGAGCTTTGGCTGTATTAATTTTCTTCCTACAATTGTAAACAGCATGGCTGTTCTCCCATGCCACTCAGTTTCCTTCTGAAGTCTGCATGCTTTACTTTTCCACCTGAGCTCAAGAAGAAGATCCCTGCTCAGGGAAGCTGACCTGCCCCACCTGCATGACTGCTGATGGTTTGGAATTCCTTGTTCTTTGCTCTGAAGAGGCAGGATTTAATCAGTGACCAGCAGTGATGGACCCCAGTGCCTTCAAAAGCACGTTCCTGGGAGCCTTGCTAACTGGTTGTCTGAGCAGCCTGAAGTTTGCCCTCCCCATATCCAGGGTTCAGGTTTTGCTGGCAGTTTTCCTCCTGTCTGAAGGTTTTAAACTTCAGTATGTCATAGTCATTGTGACAAGACTGCTACCGAGTGCTACCTCACCTGTGAGACCCTCTCTACTTGTAAAAAAGGATTATATCTAGAAGGACACCGTTTCTAGTTGGTTCCTTTTTCTGCTTTTATTTATTTATTCCCAATAAAGCATTAGTAAGAATCTGATGTAGGATTTTGTTTAAGGCAGCATCAAATTACACAAGGTCTTACATATGCCCTGCCTGTATGGGTGGCAGGAGAAATTCTTTTGTTCCTCCCTTCTCACCCCCAAGTGAGAATAGGTATCACCTCATTTACTGAGCAAGGCTGTGCATTTTAATTGCATCTCATTAATACACTTACTCTGTGGCCTTGAATAAGTAATTAAATTTCTGTGTCTATGTCATTGAATAGAAAATAGCTAATGCTTACTCACCCTGTTAAAGTGAATAAATATGTATTCCTGTGTCTTGAAAATGGGTGGCTAAAAACCAACTCAGTATGGCTTAAAAATATCAGGAAAACATAATGGTGAGGAAAAAAAGAAACACAGTTACATATGAACAAAGTACTGTTTTGGTTCTGATGGAAGAGAATGGCATTTTAGCCCAATGAAGAAACAAAGAAGAAATCATTCCAGTATGAAATTTGAAGCGATCTGCTTCATGGTGTTAATGTACTAGAAGTAACTTTGCAATCCATTTATGCCTCTGACACTTAATAACTTAATGCTTTTTAGGAGAACAGTTTTTTCTAGGGCCCTTTAGTACACAGATCAAGAATATGTCGGTCAGAATACAGGACAAGGAGAGTGTAAATGCCAGGTAATTAAACATTCATATTGTCAGCCATAGGAAACAGAACTAATTGATTGTTAAGCTTACCCCATTTAATCTGTTGTCAGCATGAACCAGAGGTTTCCAAGAGTTTTCTTCTAATTAGCTAAGTAGGTAATTACTTAGGATTGAGAAATCCTGAATCCAGGTGGCTGGGGTTAGCTTTTTGAAGAGTCAATAAAAATATTTATGAAATAACGTGACATGCTTTTTTCTGGTATAGTTTGGTGACTGTTTTGCTGCTGTTCTTGAGTGACACCTAGTGTGTACGTTAAGCAAAAGTGCCCTCTGTTTCCACAAATGCTCTGAAAACTAGGTTGACTCTGTTGTAGTTTACTGAAATCTTAATTTTACACATCACCTATGTAGTTAGGGCTCTTAATGGTACAATAAGCAACATATTAATCAAAGAAGAAATAATAATTGAGAAGGAGTAATATTAACAGTAATTTTAGTTAACTTAAAAGTGCTTTTGCAGTTACTGTTCTCTGTGGTATCAGGTACTGATTCCTGTGACGCTGAGCC